CACTGTGGCCCCTCTAGAAACCTCGTGGTATATGTTGAGAAATAACTCATGACAAAGAGGTGTAAGTCCTGTTAGCAAGGGAAGGAGCTGTTGCCTCTTGGCCAAAAAAACTGTCCTCTGATGGCACAGAATCAAAAGCACTGGAGTTTGTATCTCAACTTTTTCTTGCAGAAGCCCCAGCTAATAGCCCCTGAGGTCAAAGCAGCTTGTGGCTGAGGCAGGCAGTCATTGCTTGTTCAGAAAACACTGAGCAAAGGCATATTGTTGCATGCAAATTTTGGCTAGCATGAACTTTGTGACAGGGCAGGACTAGCGACAGTTACCCCAAATACAGAAAAGATCCAGTGTGAGGTCATCAAAATGTCATGGAGAACCATGGGGAAGCGAACTGTGTATTTAGGAAGTGTCTAGAAAGTGTGACATGCCCAGACTTCTTTCATGGCTTTTACTGCTATCAGACTTGGGCAACCAGAAAAAACAGCTCAGCTGTGGCAAAATTGTGCCACCTTTCTTTGTATTTGCATATGCAAGACAAAACTCAGCTGGTGTCCATCTACCATTGAGCAGATCTACATCTCTTACAGGAAATACTTTCCTCTCTTTGAGGGGCAAAGCCAGTAGGAGAGCAGTACTGTCCTTCCTTCATGGAAGGTGGATCCCCGCAGCTGGATGTAAAGGTGAGGTGCCTAAAATCAGAGTTTAAGATTGAAAGAGGCCATTAAAATAATTCTTTTTAGTCCTTCTGCCTAAGTGAAAATGGTGCATTCTAGCCTGTTAATATGAGAGCAGAATTCCTGAAGGCTAGGACACTGCACAAGCTTTGGACATGACTCTTACAATGGGACAGCAGCAGACAGATTTGGCCTCACAGAAGAGGCTGTGGGTTGAGGCAGAAAATCTTCTTCATGTCCACGCCCCCACCCCTCCATGCCATCCCTACTCTGTTCCTTGCAGCACTCCCAGCTCAGCTCGAGAACATCCTCATCTGATCCATCTGGATCCAAGAGTGAGAAAAGTTCATTTCAGACCCAGCTTGACATTCCCAGGTGGCAACTTAGCACTAACATCTCAATCTGTATGCGACATTTCAATCAGCACAGAGTAACAAAAGCAGAACTATTAGCACTGGGAGCTGTTCACTGGTGGTGATGATGGGGAAACTCAGAAACAGGAAATGAAAAGGGAAAAAAAAACCCTCAACACCCTGAAAGGCAGAAGGGGAAGAGAAGCAGAGAATTTTTCCTCTACACTCAGGCCAGGATCCAATGTTTGGATTAATAGTGCCATTACCTAAGAAAGGACTTCAGATAATGCTCATTCTTAAAATGTTTTTGCTGGCAATTAAATGGTTGCAGTTATTGATCTTCATTGATCTGATGTCCTCAATTTGCATAATCTATTAAAGATGAATGATTCATTATATGTTTGCTATGGGGCTGGGCAATGCTTTCAGGAAGGACCAGAGAGGTGAGGAACTCAGTGCTGCCTTGGGATATACCCTGGCCAGGAAATTAAGGAAGAGGCTGGGAGCATGCAGATTTCTTTGGTAGCACCCAGATCCCTCTCCCAAGAAGGGATATTGGAGTAATAGTGAGTACTGAAGTGCTGGCTGCCTGTTTTGCTGCTATAGTGTCATCTTTGAAATGCCTCTTTGCTCTTGTCCCAGGGCAGTCTGTGAACGCAGGTGATATCTGAAACAAATGTGAAACAAACTCACCTGTGCAGGGTACAAACTCTGTGTGCAGTCACTTCAGGATGTAAGATTTAGCTTCAGTCTACAAGGAAGTCTCCCCAGTTCAGTCTTCCCAGACAGAAAATAGTATCACTAGCTCTTTCCAAACCAAAGCTGTCTGGCACTAGACTCTTGCCCTTTCTGAAGACTTCAGAGAAAGTCATTCTCTCTCTGGCTCATGACTAGCTTTCCTCAGCAAGCTCTCTCAGCTCATGCTGTTCCGAGAATACAGCCCTCCAAAAGCCATCAAAACCTCAACAATATGTAACTACCTAAGATCTTGGAAAGTAGTGAGATAGTTAAGTACAGATGTTGTTGAAGTCCCTTTATCTGTCTGTGAGCTTCCAAGAATTGAAGAGCTAGAAATGCTGCAAAACAGGCAGCCACCTCCCCAGCGTGCAGGAAGGCCTTCCCCAAAGTCCTGGGCAACTATTCAAAGACACAGCTTAGCACCACAGTTACATACAGCACAGCCTTGCCTAGTACTGCCAGTATCAAACACTCCCTTTCAGACAAATATTATATTCTGTCTAATACATCTTGGTCCATTTATTACTCACATCTCCTAAAGCAAGTAAACAAATTTGTTTACTATGGAGCAGACAGGTCACCCTTATTTCTCCCCATTAAGTATCTGCAAGGAACTTCCATGAACGAGCTGACACGCAGGGGCTAGCTGGGCGCTAGGCTAGGAAACATGCTCCTGCCGTCCTTCATATAGAACAGACAATGCAGAAATTTTCAACTTCCTTGTGAAGTATCACAGAGACAAACCTCTTAAAATCTGCCTGAGAACAACACCTCACCTCTTCCTTCACACAGAGGCCAATGGGCCAGCTACATCTTGCCTTGATGTTGCATGGCCATCATAGCTAGATCGGTGTAGATCCCTGACAGTTTCTTGCACAGTATCTTTGGACACCTATCAGATTTCCTAGAAGCAAAGATCCAAGCTTGAACATATTGAGATAAGGCGAGTACATGCAGTTGAACACCAAAACAAGAATTCTGTTGTTCAGAGATGTTCTACTTCAGTTATTTCTATTGAAGGCAAACAGCCAAGGCAGACGAGTATAAATCTGTACAGGGCTAAGTAAACACAGAAAACATCAATAGCTTTCTTTTATTCAGTAGTTTCCACATATCTTTGGGTTTGGAAGGTACTCAGTAGCTAACACCCAAGAGGTGAGTGGAGGAGAACCTCAGGATTTTGGCACTAGCAACAGGAGTACTTTAAAAGCACGAGGTTGTTCACAGAAGCCTTGAATCCTTTGAGAACAAAGGTTAAGATCCTTCTTTAAGCACCATCAGAAATAACATCTTTTGGAATAGGCATGCATGAAAGACGTGAGGTGTCTTCAGGTTCTGAGTTCTGGGGACTTAGATTAATAGTTTGGGAGCAGAGTCCTTTCCAACTCAATTATCTAGCCCAGAAGTTACCCAACAGAGAGGCAGCACTATGGGAAATAAAACACAATGGACTTTTCATATATGGCCTGAAACTTGCTTTTTAACAGACTACTAAAAGGGAGGATTTACCTGCTAGATGGATCGTAAAATTACAGCAAAGGTAAAGAAAAACTTCCCTTAATTGAATCCTGGTAGTTTTAACTAAATAGACCTTGTTTGCCAGCCCACTACAATCAGTGAGATCGACAAAGAAAAGTAAAGGTAAAAGACAAGCCCAAGAAAAACAGGGCAAAAAAAGCACTTCAGGAATTTCTAGCGTTGACTGAAATGGGAGTATGTGTCCCCTTCTCTTCCTGTGAGGAAGTTTCTGAGTGCTTCTGTGCTATGGTTAGCACCTATTAACAGGAATAGGTAACTTTTAAAATCATCACCACCCACCAAAACAGCTACCATGTCCTGTATAGAAAATGTTTCCCTTTCTCTGGGAAATAAATTTTTCCCTAAAGCAACAAGCATCGTCCACGGTGAGAAATCCTGATGACAACTCACAATGTGTCAAAGGCACCAAAAAAGCACAAACCCCATCGATCTCACTTTCCTCCAGACCTCCGCTCTCTGGCATGAGATCAGATTTTTTTCCAGTTTAAGTTAATTTTTTTAATTCATACATGAATGTATGCAAAAAAAATTCAGAATTACTGACATAAAAGCTACTTGCTATGACTGAAAGACATACAAAAATAGTACTTAAACAACATCTGATTTCTATGAAAGTTTTAAAGAAAGTTGTGATGCTAAGCACGGAGAAAGCACTGGCTAGACACCTGGATCCAAAGTTTTTCTGAAATGATAAACATTTTTTTCAGAACTTTAGGCTCCTGCAAGCTGAAAAGATATAATTTCCTTCGTTTCAGCTTA